CCCACAGACAGGTGGGTACGAAGATCTCAGAGACCCACACAATCCCACAGTCCCTCAGGCACACAGAGACCCACACAGTCACACGGAGACCCACAGACACACAGTCACACAGGCCAGCAAATGGATACAGTCAAAGGGAGACACTGATAAACCAACACAGTCACTCAGAGATAAACACAAATCCAGCAGCCTCTCGGAAAGACTGACAGTTTAACTTATAACAGCTGACAGAAAGAGGAGAGAAGAAGCATTGGCACTCTCTCTCTCACACACACAAGTCACACCCCATCGAGCAGGATTCTGGAATAGCACAGGGAGGCCAGGAGTCCTAACAAACACAGGACACAAGGGAAAGAGCATTACGATGGTCAGTAAACAGAACAGTTTTGAGTCTCATTCAAGTGGTTCAGTTTTTGAAGGACTAACTGCTTTTAAATACTTTCCAAAGTACAGTAAATCATGGGACAAAATGGAGTAAGGTGTCAAAAGGTGCTGAAAGCATGGTAAAGGTGCAGTGCAGTTCAGTAAATCACAGTGAGATCAGGGTAAAAGCACAGTTCAGTGCAGTAAAGCCCAATGAGATCAGGGTAAAAGCTCAGTACAATGCAGTAAAGCCCAGTGAGATCAGGGTAAAAGCTCAGTACAGTGCAGTAAATCACAGTGAGATCAGGGTAAAAGCTCAGTACAGTGCAGTAAATCACAGTGAGATCAGCATAAAAGCTCAGTACAGTGCAGTAAAGCCCAGTGAGATCAGGGTAAAAGCACAGTGCAGTGCAGCAAAGCCCAGTGAGATCTGGTTCAGGCACAGAGAGGTTGGTATAGTAACTCATGACACCACCTGTGGGTGGAAACAAGGCATAGCTCGGCTCAGGGTTCGAGCAGAGTGCCCATCGAGGGATAACTGCCACAACCATGCGAAAGCGACATGGGAAATCTCGTAATTGTTTTACTACAGTGAAATAATGTAAGAGAATCGTGTGTGTTCGAAGCACTGTAATCAAAAGACGGAGCAGCTGCTGAAAATTAATTATAGCCATCACCAACCTTGTAATGAACTCCAGAGCTTTTTCTGAGAGGTTAGGTTTACAAAATGAAATAATTGTAAACCAGCTGTAAAACACTGACCTCAAAACAAAAACATAACCAAAATTAAAAACGTGAATCTGAAGCAGTGATGATGATCCCAGCCAGTACCGCATTATGCGCAGCGGCTCTGCGCCATTTCCGCAGCTCCAACGGCGTGACAGCCGCCCGCGCACGCCGGGACATAAACAAACAAACAGATAAATAAACACGAGCAGCGTTACAGTGCCGCATCCGCCAGAGAAATAA